CTAATTTAAACACAAAAATTAGAAATAATCTTCGTTATCGTTATATCGAGGTTCGTTATATCGAGGTTATACTGTATCTTGTAAGTATAATTATTATTAATTTGTATTACTATTAATTATTATTAATTGCTATTTTTTATTATTATTAATATAGAATGATTTTGGTAATAGTGATCCATCATATGATTCAGCCAAAGCAATATTAAACAATGAAAATACACATTATTGTAGTAGTTCAAGACAAGCATTACCCTATTATGAAACTGAACCCGAAGCTGAACCTTTGCCATCTCAACACACTAATTCATTCTCATCTTAGTATCAAATAGAACTCTTTCAAGAGAATGCTGATGAATTATTTAGTTACAATTAATATTTTTTGCTTCAAATATATTTTTTTAAATTAATTGCTAGTGATTTATTATGTATTAAATTTATAATCTGTAATAAAATTATGTATTTGCACTGTATATAGTATAATAATATATACAATACAATATAATTATATATTACCAATATATAGTGCTTATAAAAATTACATATTATATAAATTTTGTAGTATCGTTTATTAAAAAAAATTACTTGTTTAAACCTGCTATATATTGATCAATATCTATATCAATATATATCAATTGCTTTAAAACTGGTTATCTATCATTATATGTTACAATTGATATAACCCAGTAGAGTGATTGCTATTGATATATATCTAGTAAGTTATCAATCAATATATATCTCTATATAAAATTTTCCAATATCAAACTATAATCCAAAACTTTAAATTATAATTATTTATTAAAATTAATGAATTATATGATACAAAATATATGGGCTAGATATTGAAAAAAGAGACGAAATTGACAATTTTTTAAAAAGATATTTTTTTGCATAAATCGATTTATAATAAGATTAAGATCATTTTTTATTTAATATACAAAAGTAGTTGTATTAATAAAATTTTGCAGTATAGCTCTTTAAAGTCTGTATTTTTTTATGATTTATTATAAGATTTATAACATAAAAATTGATTTTTTGAAGATCTTTTTTTTTGTCAATTTTGTCCCTTTTCTCAGCATCTAGCCCATATGATCACTACTGTATATATTTTGGATAAATATTTTTATATTATGTAATTGTGTTTAGAAATATGAAATGTTTTCAAAATTCAATTTTTGAAATAATTTAAGATTTATTGGCTATAATAATTCTATTTTATTCTATTTTATTATTAACAGAAATATTCTCTATAATGTTCACACATTCAATATTATTTAAATTTTATTTGAATATATTGGGTGTTTAGTCTGTGAAAAGTTTATAAAGACAGTCTTTGTCAACAAATAAATCTTGACAAAAAATAAAAAAAGTCCAAGATATAAAATAGACTTTTATAATAAATATACTATATGAATAGATAAATATATGATTAAGAATTCATCAACTGGTTTAAATGTAACTCAAAATTCCAAAAATTG